TCAAATTATGTGTTAAATATAATTGATTTATAATTGAGTGCTATTTTTGGTCACTTTATTGCGTTTGTTTAGCATTTATCTGACGCTCATTGAGGACGTGGTCTCAAGAATTAGTAGTGAAAAAACTTGAGAGAGAGAGAGAGAGAGAATTTGAGTGAACAGAATCTCTCTCAATACCTTATTGTTAATTTGTATGACTTTTGCGGAAAAATAAATAACTTTTAAGTAACTATAGTATTTGACACTTTTTTATTAACTTTTTTAGTGACTATCAAGGTTGTTTTTACCATCTTTAGATCCAGTCTTTAATTATTATACTTTTAAATATTTTTGCTATGATTTCATTTTGTAGAGTAAATGAATGGAAGCATTGTATGATTGGTTGCACTTTATTGCGGTTACGGTCTAACCATTTGTCATCATTTCTAATACAATATGAATACATGAATACATGTTGTTTGCAGACATTCACTCATTGCTAAGATGACTGGAATCACTGGAACCGACAGTCAACATCTGTTGGAGTTCGTGAATGACATTCATGTGATCGAAAACATTTGGTTCGCAATTGAATTGATGTAAAAGAATAGATTGTCTGACATTATGGTCGGCGCTATAATACCAGTGCAACTGATTGGCCAAACACTGGGCTTCAAACACATTCAAGACGTTTGTGTCGTACTGTCCATACATTAAGACAATGTGTTTAGTGGGCGACAACTCGGGAAAGTGACGCACTGTTAGACATACCGGTGCCGTCTCACCCAACCTATGGTAAGCACTCAATGGTGTGAAGAAGCAGTTGTGTCCTTCAAAGCGACTCAACATAAACTCGTAACCATTTGAATCGTTTTGCGCGTAGAGTTGGCCATCATTTTCAAGTCGTGTCTTTGGGATCGCAAATATGAATGTCTTGTATTTGGAGGACATGTCGAACATGCGGTCATAGGTATCGCCACGGATTACACCATAAATACAGTCTCTGTTCTTATGATAACTCTTCCAAATGTCGGTAATCTCTTCCACTGTCTTGTCGGACACCAAATCCATGACTAGGATATCATTAAGACTTTGATTTTTGCCAACATTTCGTTTCACATCAATGCTTTCGTTACATTTGATGGCATTGCAGACACTTATCACCTCTTGTTTGGTGTGTTGGCTTGACTGTGACCTACTGGTGCTGTGTTCACCACCACCACCACCATCACCATCACCTATTCCACCATTCGCTGTCAATGAAGTGACAATTTTATGTCTATATTTGTTATAAAAGGGATTGTCTTGCAGATGATGCTGTCGGTGGTGAGCAGTGGACACAACATTGTCTATTGTTGTTGTTGTTGTTGGTGGTGGTGGTGGTGGTGGTAGTGGTGGTGATGTGTGTCGCCAACAGAAGGGCACAACACATGTGCTCGCAATCAATTGCCGCCTCAACACAATGCAAGACATGCACATCATCGCCAAACTATGACCACTACTGTATAACCAATATGACCAAGGTGATGGGCTGCTATCATTAATTTATAATGCGTGACAAGTAAAGTATTATTTATTTTGGTGATTGTCATCCAAAACTGTACTCACTTTAACTGTTAGTCAAGTGTATGAGTTTGTATCATGGTCATAATCTCAGTATACTACATATATACTATATACTGTACACTGTACTATACAAGTATTAATACAGTAATTTACGGGTAAATCTTACGGTTACATGTACAGTACAGTAAATTTTATAAATTTACCGGTACCACTCATATATAACGTCATTGCATGATAGACTACTGTATAAAACTTATACTATAAATTAAAAATCTAATTAAAAATCTAAATTAATAAATTTACATAACTTTCTCCATTGTATTACTGTATCTGTACTACAAATACAATTATTGTCATATACTTGTATACATGTACAGTATTTACCGCAAATATCAAATAGGACCCAATAACAGTACTATTATTACAGTTACCGGTAATATGATTATCAGTCTATTAATCGTATCAGTACCTACGGTAATATCAATAATAATAATTATTATTTTAACTTACTGTTACAGTAACTGTTTACTATTATACAGTACAGTAATTTAGTAAATTTATAATAAATATAAATTATCATACGGTAACATAGTTGGTAGAATATAAGTTATTCTTATAGTTATTCTAGACTAGTTTTTGATAATTAAATTGCCTTTAATTCATATTCATATTACATTCTTACAATCAAATAAAGTTACAATGGTTATAAATGATAAAAAATACCGTAATAATATTACAATCCTATATAANTGTTCAAAATTGGTCGGCGGACTAATCACTGGCTTCTCGGAACCGCGCGAAGAGTTCTTCACATTCTTTGTGGTCTTAGACTTTGCTTTCCTCTTCTCATCCTCTCTATCGGGCTCTCGAGGAAGAGGTCTCATATCGACGGGAACTGTGAGCTCACGAGCGGACGCCAACCTAACCGGTGGTGCCGGAGGTTTGTCTGAAGAGTAGAACTCCGACGACACGAGTCTTTGGTGACTCATTGTATTGTCTTCAGTGTCTTGGCTTGGATTCGCTGCTTATGTGGACATCGATGAGCACATGAGACACCAGTCACTCACCACTACATACCAGTGCCTATCATAGCAATCAATTCACTCACAATTTGTCACAATTACACAAACAGTCTAACAGTAAGTCTATGCATACAGTCATACAGTCATACAGTCATACAGTCATACATACTGTACAGTGAATGCAATCACTCATTCATATGATATTTGAACCATTCATACAACCATTACTCACACACTTACAGCACTCCCTCTGTTGCCATTCACAACACTACTCGTGTGATACGATACGATACGCCCGACTATAATAAGAACAAAATGTAATGAGACTTAATTCTGTAAGTCGTGTACGTACTGTACTGTACAGTACGTGTGAATTGAGCAAGCTATATTCACAAATTATTAGTCATTTTAATTACTAATCTCTTTTTGACTTTGTCGAAAAATATATTCATCAATAAGATTCAAAATATTAAGCATAACATTTGATTCATTCAAAATGCTTTTGATTTAAAAATAAATATGACACAGGGTATTTTCTTTAAGTTCATTATTGATACGAGTCAATCATGTTTTCAATCAATTAAAAAGACTCAAACATTCAGTTACACCAGTCACTCACCACTACATACCAGTGCCTATCATAGCAATCAATTCACTCACAATTTGTCACAATTACACAAACAGTCTAACAGTAAGTCTATGCATACAGTCATACAGTCATACAGTCATACATACTGTACAGTGAATGCAATCACTCATTCATATGATATGAATACCATTCATACAACCATTACTCACACACTTACGGCACTCCCTCTGTTGCCATTCACAACACTACTCGTATGATACGATACGCCCGACTATAATAAGAACTCAATGTTTCAGTCTTTTTAATTCTGTAAGTCGTGTACGTACTGTACAGTACGTGTAAATTGAGCAAGCTATATTCACAAATTATTAGTCATTTTAATTACTAATTTCTTTTTGACTTTGTCGAAAAATATATTCATCAATAAGATTCAAAATATTAAGCATAAAATGAATATTTGCAACATTTGATTCATTCAAAATGCTTTTGATTTAAAAATAAATATGACACAGGGTATTTTCTTTAAGTTCATTATTGATACGAGTCAATCATGTTTTCAATCAATTAAAAAGACTCAAACATTCAGTTCTTACCGCATAACCATTGCCAACACATAAGGGCTCATAATCAAAGACTCACTTAATTATAAAGTAGACTTAATTATCCAGTAAACTATTATTTTGAGTAGAGTTTCAGTGTATTTCATATAATCCTCACATTTAACAACGTTTGCATAAATCCAATGCAAGCATCAAATCAATGCATTTCTATTCAAATTATGTGTTAAATATAATTGATTTATAATTGAGTGCTATTTTTGGTCACTTTATTGCGTTTGTTTAGCATTTATCTGACGCTCATTGAGGACGTGGTCTCAAGAATTAGTAGTGAAAAAACT